TCTCATTTAGAAGGCTAGAAATCTGAGTTCAAAGTGCCAGCTCTAGAGGCAGGTTTCAGCTCTAGGGGCAGGCTTCAGCTCTGCCTCTTGCTCCCAGCCCACTGAAGCTGGAGGCTTTTCTTAACTGAAGCAGCTGCTGGCTGCTGAGGTTGACAAACCCAAGGTCAACAAGTAAAATGGTGTAGTCCCCAGATTACCAAGCAATACAGCAGGCCTCTAGTTCAGTCCAGAAAAAGTTCCAAGATTGGCAGGGCGTGGCAGGCTACTCAATGAAGACTCACCTGCAGGCAGGGTCCAAGCATTCCAAAAAGCTGCAGAGACCCTTCTCAAAACTTTTCCTTATATACTGGAAGAAGACCACATCCCTAGTGCAGCTACTCAGCTGCTTATAGTAGATTCTACCATGGAGTTGATTACCAATCTTATCTTGGGGAATAACTACATCTAGCTGCCCAGTCACTCAAAACCAGGCCCAGGCAAGTTGACACACAACCATATCTACCACAAAAGCCACTAAAACAGGAAAATAGGCATTGATATAAAATTTAAATGATCAGAATTAAAAATAAAATGCAACCAATTATACAAGATTATTTATTTTCCTTTTGCTTTTGTTAAGGTGGGTCCAAAATAAGAAATACTAAATTGTATCATGTAGCTTTTCTACTTGCTTTTCAATCTAGTATCCAGATCTCTTTCAGGAAGCCAAAAAAAAAAAAAAAATCAAACCAAAACAAAATTAAAGAACCTATTTAGATTTTCCTTTCTTTTTCCCATTCAAGCTTCTTAAAAGAGCAGTCAACACAGCTGGACTTAAATTCCTCCCTTCTGAGTCATTTCTCAATTAGTAACAATTCTGCTTTTCTTTGTGCACTGCTTTTATCTCCAGGGATCTTGTAAATGATCTGCTTAGATGTCACCCCAGCTGCTTTGGTTGGATGTCACTTCCTCTGGGAAACTCTCCAGAGCCACCCATATAGAGTCATCATATTTTTTTAAAAGAAAACTTCTGTAACATATGCAAATATATTGCTCATGTTATATTTTGTACATCTTTTTTACCAAATAATGTACAAGCTGCTGAGATAACGGTCTATGCCATATTTATTTAATTGTTGCTCTCAACCCACAGTTTTCTAAATGTTTGATAAATTGAATGAAAATTATAATAGAGAATTAACTTACATGAAATGTTGCTTGGGACCTTCTGGCCATTGCACATAACAAAGAGTACGTTCTGGCATCACTTTGATTTTGGAGTAAAGACACTGAGGGAAAGCAAGTAGAAATGCTAGAATCCAAATACTTCCAATGACAATCTTGGTAGCTGTAGCAGACAGTCTGGGCTTCAAGGGATCAATAATGGCCATATACCTATGTAAAAACAAACACACAATCTTGTTGGTTCTCTTGTAAAAGTTTAAAATAGTCTTCCATAGAATTTCAATGGCTAGAGGCCTCTCCTGGTAAACAAGGTGATAAAGATTGAGGAGTGGCAGCACAGAAGGATGAAAGTGGCATGGTCTGAGGAATCAGGTAGATCTAAGTTGAAAAAAAGTTCATGTAAACTTTTTGAACCTCAGCTTTATTATCTTTAAAATAGAAATAAGAACACCTACCTCTTAGCAGTGAAATGAGGGTCAATAGAAATAATGTAAGTGAAAGATTTTGATTATTTAGTAAATTACCACAATTTAAAGATGTGTGTAAAATAAATTAAAAAGACATATACTACGCACTTAAAAATACTAGTTCCCCACCTCAAAAATCTTCATTTCTATTTATGTTTAACTTAAAACAAATTCCAGAAAGAAATCATATGAATAATACCTGCATTACTGACAAGGATGAAGAACACTTATAAGCCCTCATGAAGGATAGCATCAACATATTCATTTAAAAGCAACAAGTAATGAATTTAGGGTTGAAATAAGGAAGAACAAATCAAGGTTGACTGAGACTATACTGTCCTGTTAAGTGAATTCATAATGTTTTCTGAAAACTTTCTTCATGTTGTCTATGTAACTGTCCATAACATAGCTTTATGGAAATATATTTAAGGTCTAAAAAACATATTAACATATGACTTCAGAATGCCACTTTATGGAAAGGTGGGACCTCTCTGAAGGTAGTGAAAAACAGTCAAGTTTTATGCATTTGGTAAAGATAGTAGCAATATATTTGGGAGATAGAATTTCCAATTTTAAAGTGGATATAAAATGATTAATTGCCAGATTCTGGCTATTATACAGAAAAAAATAGTCTTCAGTATACAGTGAAAGTTTAAAATAGTCTTCCATATAATTTTAATGGCTAGAGGTCTCTCCTGGTAAACAAGGTGATAAAGATTGTTTGAGGAGTGGCAGCATAGAATGATGAAAGTGGCATGGTCTGAAGAATCAGGTAGATCTAAGTTTAAATAAAAAAAGTTCATGTAACTTTTTTGAACCTCAGCTTTATTATCTTTAAATAATAATATGCCATTAATTAATTATTAATTATAATAATATACACCGTTAATTATTGTTTTTGTACTCCTACCTATAAAACATTATTTAAACTGTTGTATTTTTACTGTTAGTCATTTTGTATTTCTCAAATATATTTTGATTTATGCAAAATTTCTAATGCAACATTTTTATTAAGATATAGATTATGTAACCTAAAATTATTTTAACTTTGAGGATAAACATTTCAAAATAAGTGTGATTCATCAATATATTTATTATTGTTTGCATTTTTTAACTATTCGTTAGGATTAAATATTTGGTAGATATATTTGAACTTAAAAAAAAAAACCTCATTGCCATTGAGTGGATTCGACTCATAGCGACCCCTCCTTGTGTTTCCCAGGCAGTATAACTACGGGAATAGACTGCTGCCCAATCTTCCTTCCAAGGAGTGGCCGGTGGGTTTGACCCTCCAGGCTTCTGATTAGCCGTTAAATGCCTTAGGCACTAGCCACCAGCTCCTGTATTTGAACTTAAACCAGAAAAACTAGCTACATTTGAGTCAATTCTGACTCATGGCAATCCTATAGGACAAAGCAGAACTGCCCCTAGAGTTTCTAAGCTTATAAATTTTTATAGAAGCTGACTGCCACATCTATGGCAGAGCAGCTGGTGGGTTCAATATGGTGACCTTTTGGTTAGCAGCTGAGAAGTCAACCCCTGTGACACAAGGGCTCCTCTATACTCAATTTTTAATAATAATTTTAGTCACAATTTACTTAAAGGAAATATTCTTAATTCATTATGCATGACAATCTGAGCTATGAAAAGATAACTAGAAAAACAGGTCCTTGGTTTAGGAAAATAAAATGAACCACACAAAGTTCATGTTTGAAACTGAAGATTATTTAAAGTTGACTTTCTCATACTTATACTGGTTACAAAAAAATAGTAACATTTATTGATTGCTAATCATGTGCCAGTCAATATCCAAAATAATCCAGTAAACTGAGTTATATTATTGTGAGTCAATCTGAAGCCAGAGTTCTAGCAGCCTCCAGGAAAATCTTTAACCAGAAACCTTTTAGTGTCAGTAGTGCTAACAGAACTTTTGTAATTCTAAACACTCCTTAGGGCCTTTATCTGCCCTCCAGTCTCAGCAGGTATCAAGGAACTTCCTCTGAACTCAGCACACATCACAAAAGC